GGGGGGGCAGTGAGTGGGGGTGGGGCGCTTATTATGGGATAGCTCTTTGTACCTACTGCGGGGACTGCTTCTCCAGCAGATATTATGGGCTGTCGTGTGTGGGAGCGGGAGGGGGGCCGGGGGATTATTATGGGATGGTGGTGCAGGACGGGGAGGGCCCGAGGAGCTCAGTTCCAGTCCCCCAACCCCTCACCCTTACTCCCGTCACCCTTAGGGTCGGCCTCCGCCTCCAGCGGCCCCAGGGGAGCGCCTGAAACTCACCCACGCGCGCACACACAAGCGGGCACCCCTAACTGATAGCCGACTCTGGTGCGTGGTGCGCAGGGAGAGTGTGCCCTCTCTCCGCTTCCTCTACAGCTCCCTCCACAGCGCAACCAGTAAAACAGGCAGCTGGCTATTATGGGATGGCTGCTCCCAGCGCTCCAGGGAGGGGGCGGTCACCGCGGAATGTCTCCTGTGGGCGGCTATTATGGGATGGCCGCCTCTCTTTTGGGGCGGTGGGGGGGTTGCCGAGGAGGATTATTATGGGCTGTGCCCTGCATCCGCTTCCTCTACAGCTCCCTCCACAGCGCAACCAGTAAAACAGGCAGCTGGCTATTATGGGATGGCTGCTCCCAGCGCTCCAGGGAGGGGGCGGTCACCGCGGAATGTCTCCTGTGGGCGGCTATTATGGGATGGCCGCCTCTCTTTTGGGGCGGTGGGGGGGTTGCCGAGGAGGATTATTATGGGCTGTGCCCTGCACAGCTGGGTGGGGCAGTCCTGGGTAGGTGAATCGCTGGGGAAGGGGGTGGAGAAGAAAAGGAAGGAAGAGAGAGGGAAGGAGCTGGGAGGGTGTGGAGAACCCCGGAGCCAGACCTGAGGCCTGGCGGGAGGAGCTGGGCGTCCGAGGAGGTTTCTTAGGGACCGCTGTTGGAAAGGGCCCCCGAGGCCGACTCCACCTAGCTAAGCCTGAACCCTGGACACCTGGGTCCTCTTCACAGCTTGCGAGGCTTAGGGTTACCAGAGCGGGTCCGCAGTGCTGTGCGGAAGTGAGAACGCCTAGGTCCTGGATGGTGGTACATCGTGCTCCTGGTGACGACCCAAGATCCCCCCTCCATCTCTTCTTCCCCGGTCGAGCGTGGGGACCACAGTTCAGGTTGTGAGGGACGCTGAGCATAGGGTGCAGCCCACCCTGAGGGCAGAGGCTGGGTTGGCTCCTGAGGGACAGATGGTACCTCCCAAACTCCACACCGTCTGCATCCTGTCTAGCCACCACAGTGCACTGTCACTGTCACTGTGGCTCTTATTCCCGCTGTTGTCTTTCCAAGGCCCTTTTCCTGAGAGAGCAGGACGTGGTGGATCTTGGGTTGGCACAGAACAGAGGCTGCTTTACATAAGGAGGGGGTTATAGAGCAGAGCACATGCTGAAACTCTAGGGCAACCCGTCGGAGTGTTATGGAGTGGGATGGAAGGCACGGCTCTAAGGTAACTGGCTAGAGAGGTTGCCCCCCTGGGTGCATTAATTAGGAGATTACTTAGGGCACCCTTAGTTTCCGAGGGCCAATCACGTCGGCGGTTTATTTATAATGTATTTGGTAGTGTAACATGGAGCCAGGGTAGGGAGCAGCAGGCACAGGCGTAAAGACCACAAAAGCAGCACACAACACAACCCAGCTCTCTTTGGAGCTCGAGAAGAGAGGAAGGGATTTATCCTTGTGGAATCGGGGAGAGGCAGGACGTCCGACAAGTGAGAGAACGAGTGGGTAAAACCTGCAGGGGTAGTAGGGGCAGAGTGGGCTGTGGTGGGTAAAGGATAGCAGGAGTTTGAGTCACAGGCAAGAGGCTGTGACTACCTACTTAACCCTCGTACTGGTTTATACTGATTTATTACTGTGGTAATGTGGTGCATGCATAAAAGCAATGATCTGAGGCGGATGGAGGTGTGACACAGGAGGATCTGAGGCCTAGAGACACACTGGGTCCCTTAGAGAAACAGGAGCAGAGGAGGGCCTAAAAGATAACTGGCAGCTCTGTTTTGGAAGGAGAAACTTGCCCAGAAGAAGCACCACATTATGGTGTCTTTTTTATTTTACCCCCCCCCATTTTGTGTGTGTGTGGGGGGGGGTATTGTTGGACTGGGAATTGACTCAGTCCAGGGCCTTCATACTGAGCTGCATCTTCAGTCCTTTTCTTTTTTTTTAATACTGGGGATTGAACTCGGGTCCTTGTACTTGGGAAGCAGGCAACAGAACCACTGAGCTAAATCCTCAGCCCAGTCCTTTTTATTTTGGAGCAGGCTCTCACTAAGTTGCTGAGTTGCCCTGGTTGGGCTTGAACTTGTGATCTTCCTGCTGGGTTACAGGTGTGTATCCCCACACCCAGCATTTTTTTTTTCTTTCCATGGACAGGTCTTGCTGTGTGGTCCAAGCTGGCCTGAATTTACCATGTAACCCAGGCTGGCCTCAAACTCTTGACCCTCCTACCTCAGCCTCCTGCATGCTGGGACATAAGCTGTTTATTATCACATCTGGCTCCAGGTATCATACCTTGAAAGAGCTGCCTCCTGCCTCCTTTCCTCACTGTGTGGCACACCATCATCAGAATGAGCATGGTGAGGGTTTGGATAGGCGAAGGGGCTCCACCTTGACATCAAGGAGTTGAAGGAGGGAGACTATGGGAACCTTGTGGAATGGGGGAAGTGACCAGGGCACCACTATGAACATAGAAAGAGGGTGATCCAGGGAGGTGGAGTGAATGGGGGCGCACTCAGACTTTACAGGTGACAGTGGGAGTTTTTGGCTGAGGTCTCTGATGCTGAAAACTCCAGTCTGGAGATGAGGGAAGAGTAAAGATGCAGGCAACAGCTGGTGAAAAGACAACAGATTCACTGGTACTCTGTCTGGGAGCAAGGGGACTGTCATTTCTGGAAGCAAACTCCTTCTTGCCCCTCCCAAACTCAATTTTCTGATCCTGCCTTGCTTGTCCCTGGACCCCAGAGGAGGAGAGAGTTACCTGGCCAGAACCTTCCTCTGGGGAAGTGTTGAGCAGGCACTGCAGAGATGGCACAGGTCCTTCCTGTTGAGTTCCAGGAAGTTCCGGTTTGTTTTCAACCTGTCCCACTCTGAGATGCAGGAAGAGGGCTAGGGATAGGCTGAAGGACTCTGGCTTAGGGTTCCAAGCTGGGGCTTCTCAGGCTCTCCCAGTGGAAAGAGGGCCTGCGACAGTATGGAAGCTACCTGGTGGCACAGTTGAATAAGGAAGGCTTCCTGGAATGCTGGCCTGTAGTACCTGTGAACTTTATACCACCAAAATGTTTTTGTGGTGGAGAAAGGGGCCTCAACAAGAAAAAGATGGGGCAATTGGAGGTATTGGGACACTTAAGGATATAGCTTGGGAATGTAATTGACAATATGGGACATTGAGGGTGAGCAGAATTTGGTGGTCGAGAATGGGGGTTACAGTTGTGGCGTGTCTGGCAGGAAGGAAGGACAGGATGGCACGGGATTTCAGCGTGAGGAACATTGGATGGATGAACAGCACTTGCCAAATAAAATCCATCAGTATGCAGGGAATGGTGAGGTTATGTTGACCAGCCATCTATACTGGTAAGTCCTTGTGGACTGCTTACTAGCTTCTAGGAGGACCACCAAGAATTCCACCAAGACATGACTCATCCCAGACGGGTCAAGTTCTGATCTGTCCTCTGGGATAGGAAACTGGGAAACAGCACTCAGTAGTATTCTCTTGTCATTGTTTGGTTTATGCTTTGTGAAAGGAGGCACCAGCGTTTTCTTTGCATTGTCCTCGTGCCCAGCTCTGTGCCTCCATAGGTACTGTCAACAGTGGAATGAACGTGAGCTGTGGGGTGTGGAGAGAGAGCTGGGCTGCTTCTGGGGCTCCTCAGGATGGCTCTTTGTCTGTGGGAGTGGCCTGGAGCGCCAGGAGCACTTCCTGACTGGGGGGGGGGCTGTGAGAAGCAGTGTGTGGATGGGGATGGGCAGTTATCATGGGATGCCCTGGGGTGAGATAAACTTTAGGCAGATGTTTCATGTGGTCAGCATAATACTCATTGGTTTTACTCCAAATTTAAGAGCTGGGAGAAGCATCTGGGCTGTACCTGGACTTGGGATTGGGTGGGACTCTCCATTGCTCCTCAGCTTCTGACTGTTGGGAAACAATGAGCTGAGGGAACCTACCGTCATGGACGCCAGGGGACTTTAGGCCGTGGCACTGCTCTGGCCTGGGAAGGGAGTAAGGTGTATCTCTGGGGTAGGACGGGCAGTGTGGGCACTCGCTGCTCGGGCTGGAAGAGACTGACAGCTCCCGGAGATGGGGGAGGTGTGAAGCCGAGTATTATGGGATGTCTGGGTGGAAGGGTCCAGGAGAGGCAGTGGGGAAGAAGCATTATGGGATGTGACACTGGGTTGTGCAGGGGCTCTTTGCAATTATGAGATGTCAGGAAGTGGGTGTGGGATTAACATGATTATGGGACATTTCCCAGTGTTGGGGGAAGAAGGTTCAGAGGTCCATCTGTGGAGGGACACTGGGATTGCTGTCCTTTGGGGTCTTGGTAGGGAGGAGTGGTGAGCACAGCCCTGGAGCTGGGAGCCCGTCCGCCCAGGCTGGGTGGTGGTGTGGCCTCTAGACCCTGGCCTGGGGGGACCAGGGCAGCTCAGGGGGTTGGTTATTATGGGATGTCAGTACAGAAAGTGGGAGACTGATTATTACGGGATGTGTGTGGGAGGAGGCCAAGTGTCCGTTGTTGTAGTATGGGGGGGGTGAGTTTCTGACTATTATGGGATATCAAACTGGGGGTGGATGAAGGGTGGTTATTATGGGATGTCTGTGGGGGATGGGTGAGTATTATGGGATATGAGGCTGAAGTGCTGGGAGGGGTGCTTATTATGGGATGGCCATGGGGAGGGAGGGGTGATGAATTATTATGGGATGTTAGCAGTAGGGCCAAGAGTGCAGAAGTTGGCAGAGGATGGTTATTATGGGATGTCTGGTTAGTTGCAGAAGGTCCGACCTTCTGCAATATTATGAAAGCAGCCCCCTGGCACATATGTGTATGGAGTGGGGGGGCCGGGTTGTGTGCCTGTGGTGTGTCCGTGTGTATTATGGGATGGCCAGGAGGTGGGCGGTTGCCCGGGTGACACGCGGGTAGAATTACAATATTTACACATAATCATTTAGGATAAAGAAAACTTAGAAATAGCCTAAATATTGAAAAATCAGTCAATGATAGAATTAATTCAGTTTTTTTGTAGTTGAACACTGTGCAACCTCTAAGAAGTTACAATGTAAGAGAATAATTATATGGAATAAAATTTGATTACATCAGTAGTCAACAGTATAC